AAACTGTCTTTATATCAACTCATTATTTTTCTCACTTTTACCTTCCAGTTCTGGCAGTGAACATGCAGCTGTGTAGCACTGAGTTACTAGCTGAGGTTAAACCACAATAGTTCCCTTTTGATGCCCACCATGGGATGCAGAAGGTTCAAGATAACAGCTTTGATTGGAATGTGTTAGATGGAATTTATAGCCTTTATTGCTGCTTGGCTGCTTTGGGCAGACTCCTGTGCTGGCCCTGGCCTTGATGCTTTACAGTGCATTAGTGTAGTGCTCATCTGTGCCTGCTTTTTGCTTTCCCTGCTGGTGTGCGGCTGATCCCCTCCCTCTGCTGAGCTTGGGGACATTTTGAGGACAGCAGTGGTGATGCACAGGGACTGGCAGATGCCCAGGGCATCGCTGCTGGTTCTGTGCTGCTCTACTGGACATGCTGGAACTCTAGTGTGAGCTTCAGTCAGAGAGACTGGGACCTGTGGATGCGTCCGTGTGGGAGCAGGATATGACTTCTCTGACCATGAATAAGTCCATGCCAAAGCAGGCACGTCTGGAAGTGCCCGTGGCCGGGGCTGTCCGTGCCACAGCAGGGGCAGCCCTGAAGGCTTGGGGCCCAAGGACAGGCCCGTGCTGCAGCAGGTACAGCTTGAAGCACCGGGGGCTGCTCATGAGGCCGTGCTGGAGCACCTGGAAGTGCGTGGCCATGGATAAACCCCCAGTGGAGCAGGAACACCCTGCAGGGCCTGCAGCCGGGCCGAGGCTCTGTTGGGCGGGTTTGCTTTCTGAGGGGACGGCGGCTGTGGGTGAGGCCGTGCTGCAGCAGATCTGTCTCTGAGGCACTGAGGCCCATGGACAGGGCCGTGCTGCAGCAGATCTGTCTCTGAGGGCACTGAGGCCCATGGACAGGGCCGTGCTGCAGCAGATCTGTCTCTGAGGGCACTGAGACCCATGGACAGGGCCGTGCTGGAACAGCCGCCCCTCAGAGCCCCTGTGGCTGTGGATAAATCCATGCATGTGGATAAGGCAATAGGTGTCCCCTGAAAAGACTGGCTCATAGACAAGGCCCCACTTGGAGCAGGTACAGCCCTAAGGGACTGCAGTCTGTGGGTAAATCCAAGCTGGAGTAAAGGCAAGGGGAGGAGTCCATTGCAATGTTAAACTCCTTCATTGCAAGGGGTTCATTGCAATGATAGGGAGTAAGAGGCTGTAATAGAAATTTAAATTGTTATAACCCATTATTTGAGTTGCATATTATAGGAATTACGATAACAAGAACCAAAGTACCTATGAAGGAGAAGCCTTACAAGAAACAGAGTAAGTACACCAGGAACCCCGACTGAGCTGGCTTGGGTGCCCAATAACCATGAAACAAACCACCTCTCCTGTCCTGAGTACCACCACAAAATGGAACCCAAAATCATGGACTAAATGGACTCAATGGACATGTGGTGGATATTTTATGAACATTTTGCAGTGGCTGATAGACTGAGGGAAGATCTGTGTATTATACCAAAGGACAGGAAGTCAGGTGGTGGTTAACATTGTATTGGACAGTGTGGGACATAAACAGTATGGGATAAAGAAATCCCTCTACTATCAACACAGTTTTCAGCACAAACCAAACACATAGTCCCATACTGACTGCTATGTCCAAAATTAACACTATCCCAGACAAAACCAGAACAGTGTGCCTGCAGAAGCTGGATACTTTTAACTCAGTGGAAAAAAAAAAAAAGTCACACCCCAAACTATCAAGCAATTATTTAGTTTCCTGAAATAAAGGAAGTGGCTCAGAAGTGGGTGAAAGCTTTTGAAAGCTGTCAAATCACTAATACTTTTGTGGAGGAAGGGGGGAACTTGAAATAATGATCTAATGGAAACAATGCTTGTTCTGCAAGCATTTCTGTTTTTCTAAAGGGAAGCAAAGGTTCTATTCTGCCTTCTTTTGGCTTGGTTAGGGGTTTTTAGGGGTTTTTAGGGGAGAGCTTTGGGGCATTGGTTGATTTTTTGGGGTGTTTGATTACCACTACAGATCTCTTTCTTATCAGAAAAAATAGTTGGATACATGCTATTTATTTGAGGGACTTACACAGTGAAAAGGCCTTTGCAGAGGCTCTAACTTCCTCTATTTTATTTAGTTTAATGTAGTTTGATGCGCATAAAAGTGGCTTGGTGATTACAGGAAATAAGTGATGTTCTATAGAATGTCTGAGCTTGTGAAGGAAGTAAGACAACCTTAAAATTTCTCCTCCTAAATTTTCAAAATCACTGGGTACAATAGGCTGTGGTAAAATAATTTTAGTTACAACAAAAGAAATCACAAAGCCCACCCAACACTTACAATCAAGTGTCTGAAGAGTGATTGCCATAAAACCAAAGCTTACACCACCCTTTCAAAATGCTGCTCCTCCATTAACAAACCCCTCCCCAGGAGACTGCCCAGTCTCCCTTGGCCACAAGGCAGAGCAATTATGAAATATAATGGTTCTGTCACCCATGCCACCATAATACTTCTCCGAGAGAAGCAATCTCTGTGCCAAACTGCAATCATAAAAACAAGGCCCATGATGTTGCATACTTGATACTAAAGCATGAAATTTAATTGATTTAAGTGTAGTAGAGAGGAGTTAAAATATTTCCTTGATGCTTTTAGGTTTAGTAAATGCAGAGAGGAACTGGCTCAAGTCAGACTACTGTGTGTGAACAGAGAAAAATAACTATTACTTGAAATAAAGTGCTACTACCTATTTATCCATCTTCCGGCCCTCTCTGTCAGCTAACATGTTGACTGTGGAGGTGGCTGAGAGAGCAGACAGTAACCTGCCTTTTCCAGAGAAAAGGTAGCAGTGGGAAGTCTCAGAAAGATTTACAAAGTGGAAAGTAGGACAGCAGATAAAAAAAAAATGGACAGGAAAAGCAAGAGATTTTGTTCTTTTCCACTACGGTGCAGCATTCACTTGTTTTCTTATAATCTCCAGCAGCTATCAAACAGATTTATGCAGTGCTGTCTCTGTTCAGAGAATTTGAGGGACAAGAGAGATAATGCTCAGGCTTCAAATGCTCTTCTTAGCTGGTTATCAACTAAAGGCAGATAATTTTGTTGCTTACATCAGTATAGACCTGGAGTTACTATAGTGACACGAGGGTAGAAGCATGAATAAATTCAATGTAAATGAAAAGAGATTTCAGTATCCATGTAACTCGCTACCATTTCAGAAAAAATATTTCAAGCCACTTTGTCTGCCATCAACTATCCCAAATTACATAACTAGCTAAATTGATAGAAGATACATATACATAAAATGTTGCATTATCTGCAGCAGAAAATATTTTCTTGAACAGGGATACTTCTTTGACTTTATATTAAGTATTACCTCAAGACTAATTTCTTTTCTTCCTACTCTCTTTAACATCTAACATGTTTTGCAAGATCATCCTCTTGGGCTCTATCTTTCTCTCAAAAAGTCAAGCAACAAATTCACCTTCAGTGGGGTAATAAAATATTCCAAAGACTATTTAAGGAGCAGTTTTAACAAAATAAATAAATAATTTCTATTTTACAAAATAAATAATTTACCAATAGTAGAGATTAATTTACTTTCACTTACTTCTAACTTTTAGAATTTAATACTAACCCCCTGCAGAAAAAAAATCAAAACTTGACGAACTCTAAGCAGATTCTGTGATCATGGAGTGGCTAACATTGACAAGAAGATGTTTTTCTTGAAGGACTTAAACACCGAAAACCGTCATGAGATGAAGCTGAACATAAAAACTACATGGAATATGTTCACATAAGAAGCCTAAATATATTCTTTTTCAAATTCAGCTACAAATGTGGTTGGTTTTTTTAAATGATTCGTATAACTCTCACTCTACATGGAAAACATTTTAGCCAAGTACCTAGGTTCTTACACCATTGCATACAATTGTATTCTAATTTCTGAACCACAGTGGTATTTCTCCACTTTGCAAAGCTTTTCATTGGTTTTACATCTACAGAGGATATTTAGAGATCAAAATGAGAGAAAGAAATAGCAGCTGCAACCTACCTTTGAGAAAAGCATCCTGTCCCAGAAATGCAACACCAAATGCTAAGAGTTTAAGCCACAAAAACATGGTTATTTCTGGAAATCAGGTGTATCTTTAAGAAACAGCATGTGTCCCTCTCTGGAAAGCAAAATAAATGTTATCTATCTGAAAAAGAACTTCTTCACAAAATTTGAACCCAGAAGGAGACTAACTAGGCACATACATTGCACTGCCTGCTTATCTGTGAAGGAGTTGCTTCCTCTGTTACCCTAACTAACCACTCACAAACTTGCAATGCACTGTAGTGATGTCAGAGACAATTACTTCTTCAAAAAACTTCTTTCAGTTTCCAGGAAGTCAAAGGGGTTTTTCTTAGGTTCCTGCAGTAATACTTAGCTTCCTTAATTCAACTAAAGGAGATTATTTTCAGCTATTTCTTTCTTTGCACTTAGGAGCTACACAAGACTTCACTTTACATAGGACTGGATTTAGCAAAGTCATTTTTTTCCCTCGATATGCACTTTTCTGCATACATTCACTGATTCCCATATATATTATGTATGTTTCTTGAGATTTCTGTTGAGAGAAAGAGAAACCCTAAGCACGAGTCACCAAAATACTTGTTCTGTCAACAAGGCCTTCATAAAAATGTATCCTCAGGTGAAGCCATCATCATTAAGTGATGATCAAATGAAAACCCTTTAAAAATAAGTTGAATTAGATGATCTCTAGAGGTCCCTTCTAACCCTAACTATTTCACGGTTCTGTGGGTTATATTTCTGCATCTTTCTACAAGGATGTCTTTCTGGGTATGACAGTAATTCATAATATATAGAGGCAGTCTAATTATGTTTTCTGTAATGTTTATAACTGGAGAACTCAATACAATTCTTTACCATGATAGTGCAGGAGGATTGTTGGAACTTTCAGGAACTTGATAAAAGACACAGCAAAAACATTTTCCCTCACTGCATGCACTGAGTCAGTTCTCAACAACTTGGTAACGAATATCCCTTATATAGTAGGCTACAAGGGAAAGAAGTGTTTGATTGCTTCTCTTATTGGAGATCTCCAAGGTTCTAAAAGAACTAGCAGAACCCTGTCATAAGACAGATAAAGAAGCAAAGAGAATCTTTTTGTGCTGCCTATTCATAGGTCCTTCAGAGACTTCCTAAGCATCACACAGGAAAAAGTTGCACAAATTCACATAACAATTCACAAATGACATGACTGACTCAAACTCCTTGTAAGATTAAACACATTTTCTACAATTTTGAGTCAAGTCTTACAACACAAGCCAAAATGTTAGCCATCATTAAGCAGTATGTCTCCATACAAAGTGGCTGTAATAATTATTATATTGTAAATGTGTTCAAAACAAAACTGATCCAATTATATTGCTCTGGCACTCCAGAGACTCCAATTTTGATATAAAATAATTTCATCATCCTGGAGTTGACACAAATTTAATTTGGACTATAGCCATATATTATCTGCAGCACCGACATCTTAGTCACTTTTATCCTAGACAAAAGCAGGATACCAGCACGGCTGACATGCGCCATCTGATGAGTAGAGTGCATGACATCCTGTGAAGAATGCCTTGTAAAGGTTCTCAAAGAGAACCAGGCTCCATTCCCACCTGACCTTCCCCAGTAGTTTTATACAGTCACCACTCAACTCCTCAAGCTGCAACCCCAAGACAAATTCCTGCAGAGTGAATCTTTTCTGGTTGTGTGATATTTAAAGAGCTTCCACAGCACTGAAAGATCTCAACATACCCTATCTATTATTTAGTGAGAACATCACACACTCCAGTGATCCCACCATTCTAGGTATATTGCTAACCATAAATCATCAGCTGTTAACATTAATGACCAAAGCTACGAATTTATGTAAGTAGGACACAGAAATGTTGGAGCAAGTCCAGAGGAGGGTCACAAAGTTGATAAGAGGATTGGAGCACCTTCCTATGAAAATAGGCTGGTAAAGTTGGGGCTGTTCAGCTGAAGGGACCTAGAGGGAAGCCAAAGGACTCTTCATCAAGAACTGCAGTGACAGGACAAGGAGTAACAAGTACAAGCTGAAAGAAGGAAAATATAGGTTAGATATTAGGATGAAATTATTTACTGTGAGGGTGATGACTGGAACAGATTATCCAGAGAGGTTGTGGATGTATTTACTGTGAGGGTGATGACTGGAACAGATTGTCCAGAGAGGTTGTGGATGTCCAAACACTGGCAGTGTTTGGTTGGATAAGGCATTGGGCAATCTGGTCTAGT